GCGTAGCCAGCAAGTGACAGCTAAGACATTTGAGCCTTAGCCTGTGGGTCTGTACAGCAGAGCTGTTGGGAGAGTTATGGTAGTAATGGCGTTACGGTAGTAATGGAGAAGTAGCAGATCTTGCTGTTTGTTTGACTGTTGTTACAGCATCCGAGGTTTTAATCCAAATCCTCTACTGTCCTCACCAGATCGGAGTCCGGGAAGCCGCCTTTCAAATCTCCAGCAAGAAGTGAATGAGAAGGGAGACTGAGCAATCTCCTCCTCAGAATGAGCGCTGGCTGCCCATCATACAGAACTGTTGTGGAGGGCCAATCATCAGGAGCATAGTTAGGACCTACTCTAAGTTTCATCTAGAACTCAGTCTCACCACCAACAATATGAAGTAAAACCATTGCCATATCCAGTTTACTGAGAAATTGGAAACAGATAGGTTCAATAACATGCCCAAGGTCACACAGCATGTCAGTGTCAGAGCTGGGCTTTGAATTAACCTGTCCTTTCAAATAACTGCTAGGATGAGAGAGAGAGAGAGAGAGAGAGAGAGAGAGAGAGAGAGAGAGAGAGAGAGAGAGAGAGAGAGAGAGAGATAGATCCTGAATTCCTGAATGCATGGGTACACATATGTGCTCCTTTGTGTAGGGGCCAGAAGTCAATCTCAAGTGTCTTCACCTTAATTTTTGGGACAGCGTCTCTATTGGCCTGATGTTCACCAAGTAGGATAGTGGTTGGACAGCGGTTCCCACGTGTCTCTGCCCTCCCTCTCCAGTGCTGGGTTTACAAGCGTACACCACCATGCCCAGCTTTTTCTTTTTCTGAGATACAGCATGTAGTGGTTACTGGTGAGGAGTGGGCAGTGGCAAGATGGGGCCAGGACCAGAAGCTAGAAGAGCCCAGATGAGAGAGAGGGTTAGCAGCTTTCTTCTCCTCCAGGGATCAGCACCTTGACTGTTGAAGCCTACGACCCAGGTCAGGTTCCTCCCTGTGCCTGGAACCAAGTATGTAGAACACTTGCGAGCAGGTTGCCCCATAGAATCAAATGAGTCCTAGAAGGAAAGGGACAAAGGTTCTGTGACAAGGCCTGGCATCCAACAGCAGGTTCTGAGAGGAAGCCAGACTTATGGAATCTTGAGTGCCACAGGCAGGACAAGCAACTGCTAATTTTGAATCAGGTACTTACTATCTCCTGGGTCCCAGGTTCTATGTAGAAATGAGGAATTTGAACCGCTCTCAGGCTCAGAATTACACTCAGGGCTGTTCCATCTCAGTGGAGACTGAGGGCAGAGAGCAGTTGTCAAACCGTGTTTGCAGCAGCTCCTCCCTCAGAGGCAGGAATGTACCGCAGTCCCTTAGGCCTGCTCTTCGGGGTCTTCAGTGGCCCTCCTTCAGGGTCTGGAGCTGTGGAAGCCTCCGCTCTCCCCAAGCTTTCAAGAGTCAAATCATCTCTGAACTCAGGAGCAACTGGTAACTCGGACCCCAGGAGCCAGACTCCCCCCTCTAGCTCTTTCCTCCCGTCTCCTGGCCAGGCTCTTCTTTTCAGACAACCCCTGCAATGTGTTCCCTCCCCTCGGCTCCCCCTTAACATCTCTCAGTTGCCCTCTCTGGCACGTTCATACGTTACTATTCCCTATGACCACAGTGCTGACACTTCCAAACCCAAGACCCCATGCTGGACGGCTCCCAGGTGAACCCTCTGACTTGGGTATTCCCCCTGGAAATCCTTCCTCAGACTTGGAAAAGTCATTCAACAATCTGTTCTTCTGTCACAGGACCCAGATGCCAAGCCAGATATGAGGGGCAGCTTCCAGGCCATTCAGCAATTTTTGGTAACTCTGGAACTGGAGCCTGTCCCACATCGTAGGTCTCTTCCTTGGCCCCTCTCTTCTCTGCAGCCACAATGGCTATATATGTGTGTGTGTGTGTGTGTGTGTGTGTGTCTGTGTATGTATGTATGTATTTGTTAGTCCTCACACATGGATGAACACACATGCCACAGCACACGCATTTTTTTGTGGAATTGATTCTTTCCTTCTGCCTTAATTTTGTCTCCAGGGTTTGAACCCATGTTGCATGATGCCTGCTTGCATGAGGTAACAGCCTTTACCAGATATACCATCTCACCAGGCTTACAAGGGCTTCCCCCCCGCAAAGGGGGAGGGCACAGATGAGCCATGCCTCAGCTGCTCTCAGCTGGAGGGTGAGCTCTGTCTCTGGCCTTGAGGCCCTAACCAGAATTGTCCATCCCAGCTTCTCTCCACTTCACTCTGCTGACCAGGGACTCTCGGACACCTCATTGTGGCCCATCTGAAATCTTTGTCAACCCCCTCCCCACATCAGCCTCTTCTCCCAACCCTTTTCTTCTCTCTGGGCTTTTCCATTAAGGGCTGGTGCTGGGTGGACGCAAGCATGGTGGCTGCCTAGCTTGTGAGGACGACTCCTTGTCTGGGAACGATCTGAAGCAAACAGATACACCCACCGCATCCCCAACTCCTGTGTGCTCCAGGACCCTGCCCTTTGCATCCCCCAAGTCCTGGGTGGTTACATCAGAGGTGAATTCATGAACCAGTTTGAGCCAGTGTCTTGCCTGATTGCTTGAAACTGGACTTGAGGTTTTGGAAGTTCTAGGAATGGAGAGTCACATCAATGTCCCTCTAAATGAAGAGAACATTATAGGTATAATGCCAGCCACCAGCCACAAGGATAGGACAACCTGTTTCCTGCCTCCTAAGTTAACTGTCCCTTTGCTTCTATACAAAGCCAGGGTCCTTCCTCCAACTCCTTTCTGCTTATAATAAAAGACACTTAACTCAAGTCCCTCCCATGTCAAGGTGGTCTCCCTTCGTCCTTCCCTCCCCATTGTGCCATTGTATGTATACACAAAGCAGAGGGCCGCTCTAGGGAGTCTGTCTTTCCCTTAGACCTTTACCAGGCTCAGACTCCAGCTGTCAGCCTTATGCGGCAAGCACTTTCCCTTCTGTGCCATCATGCTGGCCCCATATTTTTTTTCTTTTCTTTCCTCTTTTTTCTTGTTTGTTTGTTTGTTTTTATGAGACAGGATCTTTCTACATAGTCCCAGCTGTCCTGGAACTCATTCTGTAGACCAGGATGGCCTCAAATTCAGAGATCCACCTGCCTCTGCCCCTGCCCCTGCCCCTGCCTCTCTGCCCCTGCCTCTCTGCCCCTGCCTCTCTGCCCCTGCCCCTGCCCGTGCCCCTGCCCCTGGCCCCGTCTCTGCCAGGATTAAAGGTATGCACTACCACTCCCTGACCTTCCCATCACTGAGATTCTTGATGATATCCTCCACATTTGCCTCTACTTTCTCGATGTCTTTTTCCTGGAGAGGGCTTTTTTTTTTTTTTTTTTTTTTTTGGTTTGGTTTTTCGAGGCAGGGTTTCTCTGTGTAGCCCTGGCTGTCCTGGAACTCACTCTGTAGACCAGGCTAGCCTCGAACTCTCTGCCTGCCTCTGCCTCCCAAGTGCTGGGATTAAAGGCGTGCGCCACCACCGTCCGGCACCTTTCTCATCTTTTTAAATTTGTTCCTCAGTCATTCAACAAATGCCACTGTCCCTTGGAACCATGTATCCCAGAACCCCTTGAAGAAACCAAAATCCATATACACAAGCACCTTATGCAAAATTTTACAGTATTTGCATAGACCTCATGCATATTCTCCCATCTCTGAAATACTTCAGTTCTTTTAATTTTATGCACATGGGTGTTTTGCCTGCATGTCTGTGCAGTGTGTGTGCATGCAGGTCTAGAAGAGGGCGTTGGATCCCCTGGAATTGAAGTTACACATGATTGGGAGCCACTCTGTGGGAACTGAACCCAGATCCTCAGAAAGAGCAATAAGTTGTCTTAACCACTAAGCCATCTCTCCAGCCCCACGTTGACTCTTAATAGAATGCTGTTTTGTTATTCCAGTTTTATGGATTCAGCACAAAATAATGGTGTGTGGGATGAAGTCCAAATTTAATTATTTGGGTCTCTGAGGACATCTTTACCAAAATACTTTCCATCCAAGATTGGCTGAATCTGTGAATGCAAAACCCTCAGGAAGGGCTGAGTGTGCTTTTTGAGCATCAGTAAACAAGTTTGGGTGAGAATCTGAGATTACCTGAAAGTGGAGGGGTGGTGTGATAGGAGGAGGGGCTTCAGAGGGAGGGGAGAGGGACGAGGGAGGGTACGGTAGGGGTTAACATGATCAAAATGCACAACACACGAGTATGAATATGTCAATTACTAACAACTTGTTATGGCTTTAAAAACATTTATTTTGTGCTCGGTACAAGCGAGCCACCCCACACATGTAAAAGTCAGATGAGGGGGCTGGAGAGATGGCTCAGTGGTTAGGAGCACTGACTGCTCTTCCAGAGGTCCTGAGTTCAATTCCCAGCAACCACATGGTGGCTTACAACCATCTGTAATGGGATCCAATGCCCTCTTCTGGTGTGTCTGAAAACAGCTGCAATGTACTCACATACATAAAATAAATAAATCTTTTAAAGAAGAAAGAAAGAAGCCGGGCGGTGGTGGCGCACGCCTTTAATCCCAGCACTTGGGAGGCAGAGGCAGGCAGATTTCTGTGTTCGAGGCCAGCCTGGTCTACAGAGTGAGTTCCAGGACAGCCAGGACTACACAGAGAAACCCTGTCTCAAAAAACCAAACAAACAAAGAAGAAGAAGGAGAAGAAGGAGAAGGAGAAGGAGAAGGAGAAGGAGAAAAGAAAGAAAAAAAGAAAGAAAGAAAGAAAGAAAGTCAGATGACAGCTTCGGGAGTCAGTTCTCTCCTTTCACATGTGGATCCTGGGGATCAAACTCAGGACACCAGCCTTGGTAGCAAGCCCCCTTACCTTCTGAGCCATTTTAATAAAATGAACTGTAACCAGAGAGGTGCCCCTGGAAGGCATTCTGAAGGACAGAAGGCCTGGGTGCTGTTTTTCAGCTATGAACAATGCATTTAGGTTCAGAGAAATGTAAAAGGAGTGACTTCTTATGCTAATCCAAAATGAAAATAGATTTATTAATTACTGTGAAAAACATGATGTATTATAACCAAGTCATATACTTTATTGATAAGAAAAAATTTTTGGTAAGAAGTTTGGCACTCTCTTCTCCTGTTGGGACATGTGTGAAATCCTGGGACTTGTTGGTCAAGGCTCCCTTCATGAGGGGTGTCAAGGCAGCCCAAGCAGTAGGTAAAGTAGGAAGGCAGGGCAAAGGAAGGAAATCAAGAGGCCTGCTCACAGCAGCCTTTTCCCACATTTGCACTGTCAGGCTGTATTCTGGGACAGCGGGGAGCCATGGAAAGTTAATGAGAAACAGAATTGTCACTTTGGAGACCAGTGTCAGAAAACAGGCTCCTGGTCAAGCTTTAGGTATTAGTGAATTCTGCTGACCCTGAGACTTGAGGTGTCATTGTCTTTAAACTTCCAGGCATGGAGGGAAGTGTCCAAAGATAGGGCTCATAGAGAGAAGTGGTCCCGGCTTCCTGTCGCCTCCATCTCACCAGCCCCAGGCTGAATGTAATTGTCCTCGATGAAGCCATCATCATCCTCATCTTCACCCACCTGTGGGCGGTTCCCACCCCCTGTTCCGGACAGAGGGCGATGCCGGTAGCTGGCTCGGTATCGGCGGCAGAGGTGGCACTTGGCAGCAAGCGCGATGAGTATGGAGAGGACCACTGCCCCCAGCACAACTCCTACCAGCACAGGCCATGCCCGGCCCCCGCTGCCTAGTCCAGGGGCCGTGGTTGATGCATTGGTGGCCCCTGAGATCGAGGCTGCAGAGAAAGAGATGGAGTTACAAGCAGTGGCCTGATGGGACTCCTGGGGGCAGGGGGAGGGGGAGGGACTGAGAGAGTATGGGCAGAGAAAGCCCTTCCTCCAATCTCAGCAGCTGAGGTGACCCAATCTATCCTCAACCATCCGCACTTCTCTACCACTCACTTGTGTTTGCTTCAGTCATGGATAGACCTGATGACGTTGGTGAGCCTTGGCCTCTGCCAGAAAAAGTCCTGGCTCCAGGGACACCCCAGGCTCCAGGCAGCCCCGGGCACAAGCCCTGAAAAACAGAGGTGTAGGAGTTATATAGAGATTGCACCTCCCACACTAGACTCACTGCCATGTTAGAGTACTATAAATGCTGAGGACAGGACCACTGCCCACACCACTGGTCCACAGAATAGACCCAAAGCTGCTGTCTGTGGATTTCAGCTCTAGAACAGGCTAACAACGGAATGTCTAATGTTCTTAATTACCATACCTTAAGATTTAGGCACTAGCCGGGCAGTGGTGGCACGCGCCCTTAATCCCAGCACTTGGGAGGCAGAGGAAGGCGGATTTCTGAGTTCGAGGCCAGCCTGGTCTACAGAGTGAGTTCCAGGACAGCCAGGGCTACACAGAGAAACCCTGTCTCGAAAAAAAAAAAAAAAAAGATTTAGGCACTAGCAGTGTGTTCACAAAATCCATTACATAAGTATAAACACTATTCCTGCCTTACTGGTGTGTGCACAGAGGCCCCAAATAGGAAAACGATTCAGCTGAGACCCCAGAATTTGAACTCGGGGCTCTGACACCAGAGTGCAGTCTGGCATGCTCCTTGGCAAGCTGATAATCGAGCTGAGGCAGTTCAATAGCAATTGTGTGGAGCTACCCAGCTCTGGAGCAGACCGCGAGAACAGAAGAACACAAGAGCAGAAGATTGTCCCCAGATAGCCCGAGCAGCCCCTCTGTTCCTGCATCAGAAGCCTCTCCTACTACGTACCTCAGGCCTTCCAATGGCACCATCTCAGAGGACCGAGTATGAAAAGGCCCTGAGGGTTATGGCACTCAGGGCTGGGACACCCTGGGGGAAGGGCATCTGAGCTGGAGATCCTATGTATAAGATCAGGCCTGGAGGCCTCTGGAGAAGATCAGTAGCATGTGGAGAGATACTTGGGAACCTGAGGCACAGCTAGGGGTGAAAGAAGGGGACACCTGGGGCTGGGCAGTGTCTGCTGGAAGGTGGCAAAAGTCAGAGGTGTCCCTGGGCAGAGTGGCCAGGCAAGGGACTGAAAAACCCAGCTTAGAGGCCTCCTTGGCCACACTCCTCAGTGTGGTACCCAAAGGATGCCTTTACTCAAGATGCACCACCTCCTGCTCCAGTGACTTAGCCCTCCTCCCTACTCTCTGCCACAGCTGTGTCCAAGCTACCTATTCTTTGTCTCTCTAATCACCATCCCCAGCTTCGATCTCCTAACAGGCACCTAACCACCTCCTATCCACCCCGGAAGCCAACTCAGAGCCTATCACTACAGCTTCCCGACATGCCAAACACGTCCTCTTCTTAGTTTGGAGTGGGGGACTCAAAACCCAGCATGAGACCCTGAAACCAAGCTCATTCACGCCTCAGCTCTCATTCAACTCAATCAGACCAACCTGCTAGAGAGGTTGCTCCAGGGTCCACAAGTGACCTCGGCCTCATCAGCATCCAGTCAGAACTGGCCATTACCAGCCACACACTTCCCTGAGGCAGAGGGCTGGGTAGGCTGGTGTATGCCTGTGACTGGGGGTTGGGAAGCGGGGGTTTCTGGGCTTAGTGCACCAGCCTAGTAAAGTGAATTCAGGGGTGTGGGAAGAGAAGCGATTGTATGGGGGAAGGGACGCCTCAGAAACGGAGCATGCCCAGTTGACTCATTCATTTCCAAGCAACCTTTGGTTGCCTTCTGGGGACTTCTTTCTAGGCACTCAGTACTCAAAACACAAGAGTTTGTTATACTACGATGAGTTAGTTCATTTAGACCTTTCAAAGGTTTTACACCCGTCCCCTTCCTCCCCTGCCCTGCTCTGTAAATTCTTCCCAAAGATATACACAAAGTCACGTTCCAAATGCCTCTGAACTCAGCCCACGCTTATCTGCCCATCCCCCTCCAACTGTCATTTCACAACCCACAACACAATACACATCCCTCATATCTGCACACATATACACACACACACACACTCAACTGGATCTGGTTTCTCTGCTGCACACAGGAGCCCTTATGGATCAGAAGAGATCTGAGTACCCTCTCCCACGACCCCAATGTCCCCTCTCCGCTCCCACCTTCAGACACTGTGCACAGTCCGTGGAGGTGGCTTCCGGCTGAGACTGCTGAACCTGGACAGGTGGGCGGGCCAGAACCAGCTTGACTCACCTGGAACAGTGGCGGGGTGGGCGGGGCGGAAGTGCAGGTGAAGGGAAGGCGGGGCACCAGCCCGGATTTGCAGAAACCTCAGCAGGGAGGACTCATCTCACATCCCACGACTATTGAGGGGGAGCAGGCTTGCTCCCCCTCCCACTGCTGTAGATTAGAGCACCTAGAATGCAGAAAGGGGTCCGGCCTGTCTCCAAAAGGGACAGATCTCTGCAGGCACTGCTTCCAGCCCTGATAAACAAATGGATTTCCAGTGCCGGTACAAAGTTCAAAGTTGAAGCTGGGAGTTTTACAGACCTGTAAAGGCAACAAGCCAGATGGTGCCATCAGTGGGGAGAGCAATGAGCAGTCTTCCCAGGCAGAGCCTGAGGGAACCAAGCATGCTCCAAATCCCCTGAAAAGTGCTATCGTGTGTGTGTGTGTGTGTGTGTGTGTGTGTGTGTGTGTGTGTGTGTGTGTCTCCACTGAAGTATCTACTCACGGGGTTCAAACTTTCATTCAGGTCTCCTGGTCCCCTTGACCCCAATTGCTAGGCCCTTAGCTCTTTCTCTTCTTTCTCTTTGCCTCAATCCTGAAGATGGCTGCCTCCTTTCCTTCAAGATACAGCTCAGGGGTCACCTCTACCCTGGCCAACATAGCCTGGGACACCCTTGGTTCAGTGTTTGTCAGGATCTTGGATTCATTCCCACCCAGCCTGCCTCCTAGCTACCCTGATGTTCTCTCAGGGTAGAAGACAGCCTCAGAGACTCTCTGAGCTCCCAGTACCCAGCACAGTACCCAGCACAGTACCCAAGGCTGGAGAAGATGAACAGATAACTCAGGGAGAAAGGATTGCCGGTGTATGGCTGCTCCAGGCTCCACAGGACTAGCAGGTCACAGCTGGAGAGATGGCTGCCCAGAGGAGTTGGCAAGTAAATGATTAAGGAAAAGTTCTGAGATGTCTTCAATTTACTGACAAAGGGCTGAGGACGGAAGGAGAGAGAGCAGGAACGGGAAGGGTTAATAATTTACAGGTTACAGGCCTGTGACAATCTGTTCTATCTTCTTGAGTATGTGTTAAGACATTGAGTGGTAGGCATTGCCTGCAGCCCTGGCTTATCCAGAAGCAATGGTTGCTTCTCCACGCAGACAATTGGCCTTTCCCAAAGTTGGGAACAGTATCTGTTTTCCCTTGCCTATAGCCAGTGTAGGTTCAGTGTCTTAAATTGAATGCCTGTCTTAATCTCCATTATGAAGTACTGTGGCTTTTTAGATCACTCCTGTGTATCTTCTTCCCACAACTGCTACCTGGCCTCACTGGAGACACTGGTAGGGGATGTGGCAGCTTGTATCGAGGCAAGCCCTTTGGGGCTAACATCTGTAATGGGTCACTCAAGCTGGTTCCTTTCCAAGATTTCTTGGTCTCATGAGGTCTTTGTTGTTTTGTTTTGGCTAAGTGTATGTTTAATTTTATTTTGAAATAGGAACTCTCTATGTAGCCCAAGGTGTTCTGGAAAAATATCTACCTCTTTCTGTTTCCTAAGTGTTGGAGTTAAAGGCGTGTGCCATCACAGTCTGTCTGTCTGTCTTGAGAGTTCTTGTTTTGTTTTGCTTTGTTTCAGCGGGAGCGTGGTGGGACTGTCTGGAGGCTGGAAGTTGGGATTCAAGGCCTGGAGTCTCTAAGAATGAAATCCTATTTCACTAGTAACAGCCCCTTGCCACGTTAACTCTGACCCTTCCCACGTCACTGGGCCCCTTCCCACTCTATTGTGCCCCAGCTCACCTCCTTTCTTTGCCCAGACCCTGCAATGCTCCCTCTTCCCGGGGTTTTCACGCTGTGACCCCAACTTTCCAACTGACACTTCCAACTCCTGCACCATATTTATCTCTAGCTTTGCCCCCAGAAAAGTATTCCTCCTAGGCTCCTCACTTCTAGGGCCCCAACTTGGGAGCTTTTAAAACAAAACTTCCCTGCCACTCCCTAGTCTGGGACACACCCCCCTCTCCTCTCTTTTGCCTTGGTCTTTGCTCTCACAGCCCAGTGCTGTGGGTCCTTTTTTTTGAACCTTAGGTGAGCTATAAGCTGGGAGCCATGACATGATGTCTGTATCTATCTTGTTATCATATCCCTGACACTTGGAATAGTAACAATGAATATTTCTGAAATAATGAGCTGACATTATTAAATTAATAATTGATATAAGTAAATAAAATACATTAATAATTGACAGGTGAAGAGCCTGAGAGAGGAATGACTGGTGAGGTGGAAGATGGAGATGTGGCGGGGATTGAGGTGCAGATTGAGGAAAAGCAGGGATCCTATGAAAATGAGGAAACAACCTAGAAAGCCTGGGAGGCGGGGCCTGGGAGGCGGGGCCTGGGAGGCGGGGCCTGGGAGGCGGAACAGCTGAGAGGGAAATGGATGTTATTACAGGCTGGACAGCAAGGCACCAGGAAAAATGGGTTTTATTTTATTTTTGAAGCTAAGAAGTCATTCACCAACAGCTAACCTAATCAGTGCCTACCATGTCCAGGCACTGTGTTTGTTTTTTGTTTTTTGTTTTTGTTTTGTTTTTGTTTTGTTTTTTGTTTTTTTTTTTGAGACAGGTTTTCTCTGTTGCAGCCCTGGCTGTCCTGGAACTCACTCTGTAGACCAGGCTAGCCTCGAACTCTCGAACTCAGAAATCCGCCTTCCTCTGCCTCCCAAGTGCTGGGATTAAAGGCGTGCGCCACCACTGCCCGGCCAATGCTTGTTTTTAAATAGAGATATTTCTGTAATATAACCCTATTCCCAAGACCTAAAACCCACCCTGTTAACCACTTTCAAGCATGGAAATGGGTAGCATGTAGGATCACAATACTGTGTGGCTCTTACTGTAGTCATGGTACTTTTCTCACACCAAAGGACGCCCTCTACCCATGCCCCCTCATCATGTCCCCTGCCGCTGGTTCCAGTAACAGCCCCTTGCCACATTAACTCTGACCCTTCCCACGTCACTGGGCCCCTTGCCACTCTACTTTGTGCCCTAGCTCACCTCCTTTCTTTGCTTCTGCTTGTTCAGCCTGTTGATTTGCCTTTTCTGGATATTTTGTATAAATGTAGTAATATATGTGCCACATACACTTACTTATTTTATTTAGATAGAGTCTCACTATGTATCCCTGACTAGCCTAGAATTCACTATATAAACCAGGCTGGTTTCAAACTCACTGCCCCTGCCCCCAGAGTGCTAGGATTAAAGATGTGTGCCACCACCACAGCCATTCCTGCACCAACTTTTGAAAGGACTAGTTCATTTGATTCTCATAACTATTCTGTGAGGTAGATGCTAGTTATCCCCTTGCCAAATGAAGAAAATGAGACTCTGAGAAAAGAACAGACATGAATCTCTGGCAAAGGAAATAAAACAAATGGTCCACAACCCATCAATCCTTTATTCCAAGAATATTTACTGAATGCACACCATTCAATAAGCAAAATGAACAGCAACCCTCTGGCACTTCAGCCAGGAGCTCTGACACAGTACGACCTTTCCCTGGAAGCCTGGCAACCGTGTGGTAAGCTCTGTGCACGTTGTTGCCGTCGGTCTTTCATAGCAGTGATAGATGATAGCTCAGCCGAGAAATAAAACTGTTTCAGATAACCGTGAATGCTACAAGTAAAACAGGGGCAGAAGAGACGGCTCAGTGGTTAAGAGCACGTGTTGTTTCCGCAGAGGGCCTGGGATTGATTCCCAGCATTCATTTGGCAACTCAAAAGCATCTGTACCTTCAGGTCCAGGGCATCCGACACCTCTTCTGGACCACCACTGGACCAGCACCAGGCACGCAGCAATTACATAGGCATACATGCAGCACACATACAATAAAATAAATTCTTTTTTTTTTCCAAAGTAAAAGTGCCTCATGCAATAGCTTCATGTGACTGTGTCAGGGGGCTGTGACTTCAGAAGATCAGGATAAAAGGGGACTCACTGAGTTAGGTTCTTTACTGTCGTTGTGACCAGCATGCTGACAGAAACAGCTCAAAGGAGGCAGGACTGATTTTGACTCACTGTCTCGGATGCTTCGATCTATCAGGAGAAGGAAAGCGTGCCAGTTGTTCAAGCTGTGGCCGTGAGAGCATGTGGAGGAGGTTGTTCCTATCAAGGTGGACACAGAAGCGGACATCAAAGTAGAAAATGCTCAGAGATGACACACCCTCCAGGGTCTAGAAACCTGCCTCCTCCAGTTAGCGCCACCTTCCAAACTTTTGAGAACCTCCCAATTACCATCAGTGGCTGGGGACCAAACCTTCAAAACATGAGCCTATGAGCGACATTTCATACCCAAACCATAATGTTCCACCCCGTTCCCCAAAGGCTCCAAAATCTTATAATGTAAAATTTAGCCTAACTTCAAGTCTCCCACAGAGCCTTAATGTTTCTAATATTATTCAAAAGTCTATGTTGAGTCTCCCCTGAAAATAATCTCTTAGCTGTGAGTCCCTCCCTGTATGTAAAGTGAAAGTATAAACTCCCAATAGACAGTGGTGCACAGTCAACATTTTATCTTGAAAAGGGAGGGATCTTGCTATGAGAAGAAACAATGAGATCAAAGAAAGGCCAGTTCGGCAAACCTTAAGCCCCCGTAGCCCCATGACCAATATCCAGGGAGAGCATATCATGACGTGAGCTCCAGCAGAACTGGACAGCACAGTCTCTGTGGCTTTTTCTGTTTATAGTACACATAGCCTCTCTCTTGGTCTAGATCCACTTCATACCTGTAGCTCTCCTTGCAGACACCCACGTTCCTGGCATCTCAGACATCCTAGAGTCTCCACTGCAACTTGGAACTCACTTCACAGGTCATAGATAACTTGTAGGGACTCCAACCCTATTCTATTGCTTGGCCTCACAGCTCTTCTCTGGAATCTTTAAGGATGATTATACAACTCCATAGACCAGCACTACATATATGATACAAAATTCTACTGCCAGTTTGAGCAGCTGCCGTGCCCCATTGGACCATGGTTGCACAAGAGTGTCTGGGTGGCCAAACCTGAAAAACTCTTTTTTTTTCCATCCCCAAAGGGCAAACAGTTTATTAAGCAGCAGGTGGGAAATCAGCGGCTAGGCTTGGCTACATGCACAGTTCATCTTTCTTCTTGATGGCATAGGAGTTGGAGGAGCCCTTGACAGCATTGACGAACTCATTTGCAAGGCATTTGGTGATGGTCTTGATGTTCTGGAAACCTCAGGAGCACCTGTGCACAGCAGCCAGCTGGCT